GTTATTTGTAATTTAAAAATAATAAATTTTATTTTGTTATTCAATTAATTACCAATGTTGTCTCAATTAGGATTGTTGTAAAGTTGTGTTTCGATGAATTTTTCTTACGATTATATACTATTTTATGATATTGTTTCGTAAGCAGTTAAACTGCCTTATAAAATACTTCCATTCATTGTCATGTAATTCTACTGCAAAATTGGCTGCTTCATCAACTGAATTGGTGAGATAAAGCTGCAATTTATTTTTATAGGACCAGAAAGGATCAGCCAGTTTCAAGTATTTCATCGTTTTGTTAATAATTATTGTAACAGTACAACAGCAATAACGTGAATAAATGTGGAAAACCACAAATAAAATAAATGGTATGTAGAGAGTAGTAATCAATTGTGAATCATTGTTTTTTTAATTGCGGTTGTGATCGTTCCATTTGAGCTCGACAGATAGTACATTATTAAATACGGCCTAACCCTAATATCCAGTGTAAAAGTTTTTCACATATTTTTGTAAAATGTCCACCATTTTGGTCGGAGGGAGACTTTTATTTTAGATGTTGAAGTGTTGTTCTAAATTCAACATAATACATAACACCAGTAAATAAACGGTATCAGCATTCTGACATATACTTTCTCCCATAAGTTTGTCATCAACCTTTATCATGTGTAAGCGGTGAGAGTAAATATCCGGAATTGGGATTAGTACAATTTTGTTCAGAACTTAAAGGACATACAACATTTTTTTCAAAATCGTTTGGGCCATTTTTGTGAAAATCCGATTTTTCCGTTATTTTATGTGGTTTTTATGGGAAAATAACATTATTTACAATAACTTTTGAACCGTATTTTTCACAGAAATGGGATTTGTACCATTTTGTTCAGAATATAAAGGACTATAACATGCCAATTTTTTTTTTTTAAATCGTTCCGACTGTTTTTGGAAAAATCCTATTTTTCCGTTATTTTATGGGGTTTTATGGGAAAATTCCCATTAAAAATAAAAAAAATATTTAAAAATGAAAAAAACTACTCAATTCCCTACGTAGGACGGGCCAACAGCTCGTACTATGTTAAATTAAAACCAGTTTTTTTTTCTAAAATCCTATTTTTCGTTACTATATGGGGTTTTTATGGGAAAATTACATAATTTACCATAACTTTTGAACGGTATTTTTTACAGAAATGGAATTTGTGCCATTTTGTTCAGAATTTAAAGGGCTAGCTACAACATACTAAATTTTTTATCAAAATCGTTCGGGCCGTTTTCGAGAAAATCCTATTTTTCCGGGTTTTTATGGGTTTTTAAGGGAAAATCACCATTAAATATCAAAATTTCAAAAAAATTAAAAAAAACTACTGGAGATACCATGGCTTAGAACCTACATACCAAATTTCATCGAAATCGGACCACAAATTTAGTCCCTAGCTCTCTACACATCCTGACACACACACACACAGACATCACTTCGAAAACCACTTTTTGGGTCCAGGGGGACCCAAAACGAATATATCCACTCAAAACTCAAACTCGAAAATTTTGACGAAAACAATACTTTCTCCATATACTATGGTATAGGGGGAGAAAGTAAAAACGTGTAAAGCAAAGCTTTATTTCTTTCAGAGATACCTGTATTTTCCTTGAGTCTACTATTGATTTCAGACAGTAGCCTACGAAAGTCCATAAATAAATTATTATCTTTTAACTATTATTTGTGATGCCAAGTACGATTTGGAAATATGTAATACATTACCTAACTCTGTAACAGTTCCTAAACAAAAGTAAAAGTATATTTTTCGCAGTAACGGCTACGCATATTTAATGATAAACAAGATATGAAATTTCAGTTTTTTTATTTAACTGGTTAAGTATATAAAACTAATAACAATGTAAACATGCTATTAATTACATCTAATATAACGTTTACGATAGACCATTTACTTATCTATATATTAATAGGTAAGCATGTTTCTATAAAACCATTTTTCTCTGTTCGTATGAAAGGCCGGGCAAATCTATGCATATTTAAAATAGGTTAAAAAATTAACCCAAAAACTTAATTAAACATAAACATTGGCCTTATGGGTTGCCATGCTGGGGACGAAACAACAACAAAATATAAACAGAAAATCAAAACAAATGGAAAAAATTCCAATCACATGTTTTATTTACAGCGTGGGGTGAAAATATATAAGTCTGTACCTTACATGTTTTTGGTCAAGTTTTCGACCTCTAGTTAATCATAGAAATACTTAAACAAAATGTTCAAATTCAGCCGTTTATTACCTTTAGCTCACATCGAAAAGTGCCTCTTTAGGCTCAGTGATGCAATACACAACTATTCAAAGTATTTTGTATTGCTTTCAATAAATATTTTTGTTTGTAATATTTACAAGAGCAATCGTTAATTAGATATTTCCTGTATGGTTACAACATTATCAGTGTTGTAGTACCTAACGTATCACACCCTACGTAGGGGATGAGGACGGTGGGTTGACGGCATTAGAGCGATAGCATGGATTGGATGGTGGAATTGGATTTCACTGATCTTCACATTAAACTGATATCGAATTTACTGACTGGATAAACACTGCCTGTTAGTTCAATCCAAAAACGTTCTATGTTACCGCTGTATTTTTTTAAAGGTCCAAAGTTAACTTAACAAATAACGGCCACCTAATACTAAGTTACCTAATAAAGGCAACGTTATAAATAGTCTTTGTTACAGTTCTGAATTCATTTTATGAATATCCTCTTGTGTAAAGTTACAACATTATTATTTTGTGGTTAATTTGAACAATAATTATTTATTTAATTTCCATGCTGAGTACAACTGGATAATAGTAGGCCCGTAGCTTAAAACCTAGCTATAATCGTATTTTAACACAGATGACTGTTTTACGAAAATTTTAGATCACACAGTACAATATTAGGAACGAGTTCTACATGGTTTTCTTTCTCATAAAATGTCACGTGCATGGACTATATTTGTGTCTAATATATTTAGCAAAAACGTGTTTTAATAATTTATTATTAATTTACTAGTACATATTCCTATCATATATAAATATACCGATGTGAGAACTATTGCAATAATCTTACTGTATACAATCATATAGTTCTATAGATTGTTTACATGGCTTCATTAAAAATTATATTGTTTTAAAATAAGAAAATTATAATGAAACACATTGAGTTTTTGAATTCCAAAACATAGCCAGTCTTTAAAAGTAAATACAGTTAACATTATTCAAAGATCAATCTTAAATTTAGTATTTTTAAACCACAATATAATTATTAATCTCAAATAATAGTTTTTTTCAAGATACACCCTTATGATTACATTGCAGCAAGATAACTTATTTTCCAATCAAAATCTTTCTCATGTTATTTGTTTTTGGAAAACAGGATTACAAGGGTTGAAGGAGTCTTAGTCCGTTTTACAAACACCACTCCCTCGTTGTTTATTGAGTGAACCGCATTAGTGCTTCATTCACTTAACATCGTCATTAACAATCTTAAAGCAATTACAACTGCATGTTAGGATTTTGTGGCCAAAGTTTTAAGAATTAACTGTCAAACACCTGACAAAATTGTAGATGATTTGTTTCAAATACTCACGATTAAGAAATTAATACGAAACGGAGGTGTTTCTGAAGAGACCTATTTGTTTTTGCGTGTGATTCTGTCAGTTTCAATACCACTTCATACAGTTTCGATACAGTTCATACTGTGGAGTGGATATAAGTTTCGATCAGCTCTTCTTTCATCTCCTTAGTACAATTAATTATCAGTTAAACTCCGGCTAGTGTCAACCAGTTTATGTACAATTTTATCACCCAAGAATAACGAATAACGAATAACAAATAACGAACCAACTAAACAAAATTTTACAGCATACAAAATATAAATGAATAATTTATGTATGGTTCCAAGGAACGACAACAGTACACATAATTTTGCTTCAAATTTGTTATGGGATCAGTTTAGTTCCTCGCATTAGGTATTTTCGTACGTAATTTGACTGAAAGTTAATTAAACAGATTTATGTTACCGATTCATCTGTTTATTTTCAGTTTGAAACCAATAATGTTAGTTGCTTTTAAAACTTTACTAACTCAAGTGCTTTACAAAGATACTGTTAGTAGTTTATCTGCAGTTATTATCAAAAGAATAACTAACTTGTAAGAAGTGTTGATCTTGAACGTAATAATATTATTCAATAATCACACTAATGTCTTGTTTCAAAGCACTAGAGGACCGTAATGCTTTTAGTTTTAGAACACCAATTCTATGTTTTTGCAAAAATCGAGCTACAAAACAAACAAGGTTTTGCATAGTCAATGTCACTTTCATGGGGCTAAACCATGACCCACTCAGCTAATGGAGATTCATAGCGAGCTCGTAATAACAGAATCAGTTTTCAAACAAAAGGAGTATTACGATGAAAAAAATAGACGTAGGGCATTTTCAGAGGGGGGAGAGGTCTGGGTGCAGGGAGAAATAGGTGCCGGCTGGACTCCAGGAGTGATTGGGCCTACATCAAGAACTGGTGAGCTATCTTACCAGATATGGTTAGTAGACTTCTGAGGCAAAAACACTTTCAGTCATGGTGCTGAAAAACTACTCTCTCTCTGTTCTCGGATTATGTGATGCATTGTAGTTGGCCCGAGGCAAGATTGATAGATTAATATTCAAACACAAACTTTCCGGTCAAACACCAGTATTTGGAAACTTGTTGTAGATGACAAGGACGTCGGTTTTCAAAAATGTATAATAATTTTCTAATGTCATTAAAATATGTATCTTGCTATGACGTTGGATAATGTTTTAAAAAATATGTTCAGATAACCAGTACAAACGTACCAAAGTTATACGAAAATACTCTGAATGACCCGTTTAGTATGTTTTATGTATTTTATTAAAATCAGGGATTTAATAACTTCAGCTAGGCTCTGATAAGGTTAATCTGACTTTGTTTATTTATCTATTTTATTATGTTTCAGACACGTAATGATGGGGAGGATCGGCCGGCGCGGAGTGGGGGGCCGCCGGTTCCCCACGGCCTGACAATGGGGGGAGACAATAACCAAAATACGAGGGGAAACCCTCACCTTCGGGACTTTCAACTGTAGTGAGACAAAAAACCACCAACACCATGCTGCCGACCAACGTCATGTCCTTCATGAAAAAGGTACGTAAAAATATTTGTGTGGTTAAATTATTTATTTTTAACCTTTGTGAGTAAAAATGTGTGTCTTTTTTGCGGATGGGTGCGTTGGACAATAATTACTTTTAACACTGATTATGATTCTGTAAACTACTTTAGGTGCGAAGTCCAGCCACTTTGGGTAGGACACTATGATCAGTGTCCTAACCATTACAATTGTCGGAGTAGTTGATTTTACCAATATAGCTTTAGATCCAACAAGCTAAGTTCATGAACTGTAGGCCTACACATCCATTCTAACACACCTTCAGACTAAAAGAAATTCCTGTTCCATTACTGAGAGTTTTTATAAACGGTTCTTAATTAAATAAATACATCATTTAGCACTTTCAATATCTCGGATGCCAATAGGTGTACAAATTCTGTCTGACTTTGAAATGTAGATACAAAAATAGAAAAGAAAAGAAAATCTTATGAAACGTTTGAGATATAATTATTTTGGATAAAGTTTATCATTGGTTTTTGAAGTACTAAATCTACCTTCTATGGTCGTATTGTATTGGTTCGTAAAATGTTTAGAGTATCGTTCCTTTGATTTCTTTATAAGTAATACTTGATCAAAAGCACGTTAGAGAATTTTAGAATCTAGGAATCTTTCACGAAATTTCCTATAATTTTGATCTCGTGAAACTTTTGACCTTAACACAGCAATAATTCAGTATGAAAAAATAAGTTTTATTACCCAATTGTTTAAAATTGGGATTCTTAAACTACTTTCAATGTATTTAGTGAAATACACAGTTCTAGTTCGAACTATATACATGAAAATTACGTGTTGTATCAATAAAGTTCAATGCGTCCATGTATTAATGAGATACACAGTTGTAGGGCTGTATACAACAATTACATACTGAGATACTTGTACCTTTGGGATCAAGACTCAGATACGTTTTAATAACAAACCAGGCAATCGTGCGATGCTTTACACTAGGGAATCGCAGAACTTTCAACAAGGAAGCCCAACCAGCCACCAACTACGCTGGCCTCCCCAGGGGATGAACTTCTCTCTTTGTTGTTTGAATTCAACAAAACTTTAGGTAAAATGTTGTAAACGCGTTAACTCTTAGGAAATTAGGATTTTCCTAAGATGAGAATTCATAATTTGGCGTAAAACTTCAATCGTATCTCATTTACCGAGAGGGATTTTTATCATGACACTTAAATCCACAGTATACTTACGGTAACATAATTTGTTCAGAGAAAGGTTGATGGCTCTATGTTTATGGAATAAAGTTTGTCTTCCTTCGTCTTTTTAGTCTCCATTTGAATTGAATATGTGTGTGTGTATATATTTAGTACTACTGTATACCAGTTTCAACATATTTTACAAATTACCTGGATGTAATAGATACATTATATTGTAATAAAGTATAAGTTATTTATGGGTATTATATTCATTATATTCACACACAGTTTTCATATTATATTGATCTACCAGTAAAATTTGCTTCACAAATTCGACGATTTTCAATGCTAATAAACTTAGAAAGCCACAATTTATAAAAAAATTATTGAGCTACACTGGTACTTAAAAAAATATTGGGTCGAAGTTCAAAACAAAGGTGTTTAAACTAATATAAATAAAACATTCTCTGAAGCTATTGATTGAACAAATAAGTGCAAATTAACAATCATAAAATGTCGTGAAATTAAATCATAGGTCCACTTAATATATTGTATATTGTTTTATTATGAAAGTTGATTTCAAAATTGATTACATAAAGTGCTGCGATTATTTTGTTTAGAGTTAATTAATTTGAAAAATACCGTTTAACATTAAACAATATAAAAAGCGTTTTACGTTTGCAATATAAAATAATAAATTTTTTACTCCAAAGTATGTTTATTCATTTTATTCAACCAAATATAATACTAAACGTGAAAGCCAAAGTTTTCAAAGAATTACGCTCCTATTTCACGTAAGGGTGGTTAAGAACGAGTTACCGAGGGAAGTACTCGTTTGCCAAGTTGATCCAGATAAGAGCGTCCTCTTACGGCAACTAATGTAATTACATGGCATCGATCCGATGGAACATCACCCGGTGATAAGGGCGGGGGTTGCAGGGGGGTCGAGGAGGGCAAAATGGCGCGCAACAGGTCCCCACCCCCTAGATAGATAACAACACTTGTTGCTGCAATGGTGATTATTTACAAGAATTTATCCATACCATGTCTGCTGGTGAAAAAACAAGCATCATTTGAATAAGCTTCAAATTTTGTTTATAATGAATAGTTTTAAAATTCTGTTATTTCTTTTGCTAATGATTTTGAATAGTGCAAGTAAAAAAAAATTTCATGTTTAATCTGAAGGACATTTAAGCGCTAGTGTTGACTGTTGTTCTATTACTCAAGAAAAGATTTGTTGATATGAGATTTATTTCTTGGCTTCACTACGGACAAACAATTGTTTACAAATTGATAGTCTTTTGTTGATAAAAAAGTAACATTGTTATACAAAATTAAACAAATGGTGAACAACAAAATGCGTGTTAATGAGCCAGATAGTATAAATACAAAAAATTCCCTTCAGCTCAAAACGAGTATAAATATTTGAGAATAATGTTCAATAAGTATGTTTTTACTGATATAAAATGCCAATTGTTGTAATTCCAAACTGAAATGTTATTTTGTTAATATATGAGGACACTGTAATATATTACGGTTTAAGGTTTTTTTATGTTACGGCTCAGACAAGCTTTCTCACATTTCATGAAAAACTACATAACCAAAAGCTATTTAACGGATATAACAATAATGTAAAACACATAAGGTCAAATATATTAAAGCCTACTTAGAAAACAACAATTTTGTATGAACACGTATTTTGTGTGTGTGCATTTAGTTGTTCAAAATGAACATCATGTTATATTAAAGAAAATTCTAAAAGATAAAGTTACATAGGATGTTGAGTAAAATACCAACTTTAATTCTAAGCCTATTATTTTATAATTTTTTATAAATCTGTAAATGATTATTTGAACTTTTATTTTACCCTACATTATTAATTGTAATTATTATTAATTTATTTATTGTAATTAACTATTAATTGTACCCTACATAAAAATTGTAACAATTCGTTGGGCTTTTTTATCAAGTAATCTAATTTCCATTCAAAATAAGGTTTCAGAGCATGTTATTGATTAGTAAAATAATGATACCTTTTTAAGTTTTTCATTTAAAGGTTTTAATTTAATTTCTTCAATATAAATTTATTTCAATGTATTAATTTATTTTACTCTGTATTTCATTCTAATATTACCAAGGAAGTAGGACTGTACAATGAAGCCTAGAGATTAGGATTATCCCTCTATGTGCTTAATAAGATTTCAGTGAAGCCTTAGAAGCATTAAACTCTGTTGCAATGCGAGAGTTTATGCAACCAAAATAAATACGAAACTTATTTAAAAATCCATTTCATCCGTAAAGGACCAGCAATATTGCAATTTTTATTTTGGACATTCAATTAAATCTTTCTGATGCTGATCATAATAACCAACCTAATATTTTAAATACAAACATGTATTAAAGCCCTAATAGCCCCTATAAAAAAGTAATTTCTGGCCATATATGGCCATATCAAAATTCCATATATGGTTTTATAAAGCCATATATGGGTTTTGATGAGCATATATGGAAGCATATATGGCCAGATGTGGTTGTATCCATATATGGTGGTGTCCATATATGGCCATATATGTAGTATATATATGGAATTATTGTTCATATATGGCCATACATGTTTTCGATATATGAAATAATTGTTCTTATATGGCCATACATGTTTTCTATATATGAAATAATTGTTCATATATGGCCATACATGTTTTCTATATATGAAATAATTGTTCATATATGGCCATACATGTTTTCTATATATGAAATTATTGCCCATATATGGCCATACATGTTTTCTACATATGAAATTATTGTTCATATATGGCCATACATGTTTTTTATATATGAAAATATTGCCCATATATGGCCATAAATATCCTCCATATATGGAATTATGGTCTATATATGGTCATATATGACTCCCAGGTATGAAATTAAATTACTCATATATGGAATAATAATTTTCCATTTATGCTCATCTATAAATGAGTTTTTGACAATAACTGGAATTATTATAAGGGATTGTTGCCACTTTAGGATTATGTAACTCTCAAACTCCCAAACACTTCTTATAATATTAAAAATCTAAAGTTTATCAGTTTGTGTATTTTCTTGTTGCTCTCCAAGCACAAACTACTTAACTGATTGAGTTGATATGTGGTACAGTAAGGGGGCAGATAATATAGGCAATTCTCCTTTAAAGTAATTATTAGTAAAGAAATAAAATATCCAGATTTGAACCCTGATGACAAAATCCTGTACATACATCTATTGTACAATTTTATTATAACGCAACAAAATCTTAAAACTGACGTATAATTTTAAAATTGTAAGTGTAGTAGGCCTAAATAAGGAGAATATTATATTAATAATTAATTAATTGTACCTTTGCTATCAAACAGCCTCAAATATCAATGTCACGTAGTTAGGCTATATTAATAATAACATTCTTCAAATGACATAAAATGTCTAAGAAAAATCTTGTTTTACGAGACCAAATACAGCTTCTCTTATTCGTAATGGGTTTTGATCATCCACATGATATGAAGCAATCGTGGTGTAGTGGCTAAGGGGGCAGACTCTCACGCCGGAGTCCCGGGTTCAATTCCCAGTCAGATGCTTAAAAATTTTGTTTTGAAATTTTTGAATTTAAAATTTTTATTATAGTTTTAATTTATAGTTTATACCATTTAAGGTAAAAATATGTTTAATTGTTATTTTTTTCTTTATTTATATATTTTTTATTAAAAAATTCCATATATGGAGGATTCCATATATGATCATATCTGGGGGATTCCATATATGATCATATCTGGTTGTATTTGGTCCAAAACCAAATATAACCGGAT